CTAACCAGCCTGTATCTGCCTATCTTCTGTCTGCCTTCCTTCTTTCAAAGGCAGGGGTGTTACATTAACCATGTTCCAATCCTCTGGGACACTCCCCGATTCCAGTGATTCCTGAAAGATTACCAGCAATGCCTCCACAATCTCCTCAGCTATTTTCTTTAGAGCGCTGGGGTCTAGTCTGCCTGGTCTGGATGATTTATCCATCTTCAGACCTTTCACCTTTCCCAGTACCTTCTCCTTAGGTGGCCACTACGCTTACCTCTGTCCCCTGATGCTACTTGTGTCTTCCACCATGAAAACTGATGCGAAGGACCAGAAATACCTCTTTGGAGGCCGGCATCCCATCAGCAATCAACCTTTTGTTAATGAATGTTTAGCCTTTGAGATTATTGCTGCCTCTCACAGGCATTCAGGCACTCAATATCCATGAAATTCATTTTGTGGTTTTTTTTCCCCTTTATTCATTAACAGGATGAGGGCATGGCTGGCTAAACAGCATTTATTATCTATCCCTAATTGCCCAGAGGGCAGTTCCGAGTCAACCACATTGCTGTGGGTCTGGAATCACATGTACCTGTGTGATTCCCTATCCACGCAAGGACAGCATTTTCCTTCACTAAAAAGGACATTAGTGAACCAGATGGGTTTTTCCAACAATCAGCAATGGTCATCATTAGACTATCAAATCCAGATGTCTTACTGAATTCAAATTCCAACATCTGCCGTGGTGGGATTCGAACCCAGGTCCCCCAGAACGTTATCTGGGTCTTTGGATTAACAATCCAGCGATAAAAGCACTAGGCCATCACCTCCCAACCAGGTCTCCCAATTCATTACCAGATTATCAGTCCACATTTGCAGAGCTCATCTTCTTTGAGGTCCAGCTGGCTGAGCTCATTATATCACTTCAGCATCTATTCAGTTCCTCCACCATTTCTTTGCTTCCCATTACTACTTTTCCAATCTTATTTTCTAGCAGTCTAATGTCGACTCTTGACTCTCTCTTACCGTTTAGATGTCTAAAGAAAATGCTTGCAATCTTGTTTCATATTACTAGATAGTTTGCACTCACATTTCGTCTTCTCCCCACCTTATTCCTTTTTTTAAGTCATCATCTACTACATTTTAAAGGCTTCCCGCTAATCTCCACAGCATATGTTTTTTCTTTTGTTTTTACGCAGTCCCTAACTTCTCTCATTAGCCATAGCGGCCTCATCTTCCCTTTAGTATGCTTCTTCCTTGGGGAAGAATTTCTGCTATGCCTCTTGAATTACCCCCAGGAACTCCTGCCATCGCAGCTCCACTGTTTGCCCTGTTATGCTCCCCTTCCAATCAACTCTGGCCAGCTCCTTCCTCATGTCTTTGTATTTACTTTTATCCAATTGTAATACCATTTCACTGGATTCCATTTTTCCTTCTCAGACTGCAGGGTGAATTCTACCACATTATGGTCACTACCAAAGGGGCTCCTTCACCTCAAGCTCCGTAAGTCTGCCTCACTACACATCACCAAATCCATTACCCGTTACCTAATAGAGTCCACCATAAGCTGCTTCCCAAAACAAAAAGCAAAACCCAAAAACCATCTCGCAGACATTCCAGAACCACAAACTAATTGGCACAGGATCAACCAGATTTAGAGCTGTGGGAGAAAGAAAGGGAGCTATTCCAATGGGACATGCTCCACTTGAATCATGCTGGGACTAACATCCTGGCAAATTGTGTAATGAATGTTCTGGATAGGTCTTTAAATTGAGAGGTGGTTTCAGTTGCATGGAAAATTCCCTACTTCCATTAAAGGGAGGGAGGACTTGGCAGCCCAAATAGGAGATCCTGAAGCTGGGCACCAGGCAGGCAACACAGCCCTCAGGACTCTTCATCCTGGCTACCAAATAAAAAAGCGTCCATTCCCTTGGCTATACTATACCCGATTACAACTACATTTCTCTTTTCTTCCCCCACTTGAATTGCTCCTGTACCAAGGTGCAATGGTCAGTTTGCTCATCCTATCTATGGCCCCTGCTTTCAACCACACAAGGAGCAAGTTTCAAACCTGTTAGACAAGCTCAAGGTTAAGCCCCCTTCAGCACTACCTTCTGAATTCCTACAGCTGCCTGGCTTTTATATTACATTCACCTGTCTCTGACCACTGCCTGAATTCAAGGTAGTTAATCTAAGGGGTGTGACTGCCTCCTCAAAGACAGCGTCCAGGTAACTCTTCTCCTCCCTGATGTCTTGCAGCGTTCAAAGCTCAGACTCCAACTCAAACTCTGAACCGGAGTTCTTCAAACAACCAAACACTTGTTACAGAGATAGTAGGAACTGCAGATGCTGGAGAATCCGAGACAACAAGGTGCAGGGCTGGATGAACACAGCAGGCCAAGCAGCATCACTTGTTACAGATGTGGTCACTACAAACCACAATGAGACCCACTGGCTCTCACATTTTCTGGTACAATACACTGCCTGGTCCTGCATCTCTATTTTATTTATTTCAGTTTTCATTTGATTTAAGAATTCCTATTGGTCATTTAGTTTTAAGCTGTCATCTTTTCCCTACTTATCTTCAATCTCAAAGTAATCTATACTAGATAATCAAATTAGTAGCTATCATCAACTAATGAACTTATGTACACACAAGTCCCTTTGCTCCCACACCCCGCCTTAAGAAATGTACACTTTTTTTATATGACCTTTCAATCTTCTACCTACCAAAATTCATCACCTCTCACCCCTTCACACACTGAGGCTCACCTGCCACCAATACATCCACTCCAACTTGTCAAAGTTCTTTTGTGTTACTGTCCTCATTGTTTACAATTCTAAGTTTCATGACATTTGCGAGATTTGAAATTGTCCCCTATACATCAAGATCTGGATTATTTACACATAAATCAGGAAAAACCAAGGACCCTGGGGAACTCCACTGCAAATCTTGCCATAGCCTGAAAAATATTCTTCAGCCATCATCCAGTCTCCTATCACTCAGTCAAATTTTATATCCAAGTTGCTAGTGTCCCTTTTATTCTTTTACCTATGACATTCCTCAAGCCTGTGTTGAGCACCTTCTGGAAGTCCATGACTATCACATGGACAGCATTACTCTTACCAATGCTTTGTTACCACTTTAAAAAGAAAACTCCAGCAAGTTAGCTTAATACAATTTCCCCTTCAGATTCCGATTCTTCCTAACGTATCCATCTTTTTCCATGTGATTACTAATTGTATCCCGAATAATTGCTTTCGGAGCTTCCCGAGTGAAGTTAAACTGACTAGTCTGCAATTGTTGGGCTATCCTTACAACCTGTCTTGAAGACCATAAATGTTTGCCACTTCAGAGTCTCCTGGCACTTCCAAGGTGGAAGATCATGGCGCTACTGCAATTTTCACTCTCATTTCCTTCAAAATTTTTGGATACATCTCATCTGGTTTTCGTGCCGAATCAACTTAGAAATAGCAGCAGTCTATCCAACATTTCTTTATCAAGACATTCTTGGAACGAGGTGACTGACTTTCACCAACCACCATTCTCTGTTAAGCTAGGTATGACTCCAACCACTTGAGACTTCAGCCCCAGCCAGATTCCAGTTTTGAGAAAGTTCTTGATACCATATTCCAATCAAATGTAGTCTTGATATCGAGAGTTAACCTTAACCTCTGGGAATTCGGCTTTTTTAATTTATATTTAAACCAAGGTTGGACTGAGGTCAGAACCCGAGTGACACTGGTGGAACCCAAACAGTGTCAATAAGCAAGTTATTGCAAAGTACTGCCTGATAACACAGTCGATGATCCTTACCATTACTTTGCAAACGGACAAGCATAACCCACTGAGTGTAACTGACCAGGTTAGACGCAAATCTTTTTTTGACAGAACACATCTGGGCAATTTGTCACCTTGCCTGGCAAATGCCAGGCAAGTTCTGGAGCACTATTTTTCAATACTATTGCTGGGTTGATGTCAGGGCTCATAGCATTTTGTATAATGGGTCTGAAAGAGTTAGTTTCAAGCTATACCCAAACCGATGACATCTCAGTCCTTGGTTGGAGAAAATGTTGGTCTTGCACCAGATCCCGATTAGGTCACCTCCAACATAGCTGGCAGGAGTTGAGTGTGCAGAAAACAGAACTAACTGTAACAAGTTAAGATGACTTTCAGATACCGTTTCACTGACTGTTGATTTTGAAGTTTTTTCCAAGCTTTTTTTCCCCTCAGATGCAGTCAGATTTTGCTACACATGCGCTAATTGTTTCTTCAAGCCAGTGACTATAATTGAATGTTTGTGTAATGATCAGAAGTTGTGACCTTCAAATCCTTTGTTTGTGAAATGTCTTTGTAACAGGCACCTGTAATTAGTACACAAGTAGCATTTCTACGTTGGGCTACATTCACTTGTTTACTTGTAACCTGAAGATGCATCTTCACCTTGCTTCAGATCTTCTCCTGTTGAAATACTCATTCATGTACCTCTAAAATGGAATTCTAACACTCACCTGTCCAGTCTTCTACTTAGTACGCAAACAAGAGCTTACCCAAAACTCTGCTGCCCATGCACTAACTCACACCCATTTGTACTTCAGTGTATTCATAAACCTGCTCTTGGAAATATAGTTATAAAATCAAGGCATTGCATGACCGAATATTTCAACGATTCATCTTTACTTTTTTTAAACTCCAGCCATCCCAACTCTTGCCAAAATATATGCACATTTCCAACCGACTTCTTGCATATTTCAATTTTCACTTTTTCACCACATGCAAATGCCTCTCCAGCTTGTATTTTCCAAGATCTGAAATTTTCCCCCTTAAAACATCCCCCTTGATTTTGAGGACCTCCCAACTTATCTCATGGCTCAGGGTCAATTTTTTTTTTTTTTGCAGTATCATTCCAGTAAAGTATCCTGAGAAATTTTACTGAGTTGAAATTGCTTATATAAAATCTAAGCTACTTCAGTGAAGACACATTTATTAAGTGCAAGTTTACGCAACTTTCTCCTACCTTGGAATTCACTGGACTTCCAATGGCAGTGCTGTTTTGTAGTGTTGCATCAATACCAGATATATAGCTCAATCTGGTAAGGGTTGCATTGGAGTGTGTCAATGAGGAGGAACTGCTGGAAAAGGCAAGATGTATTTTAAAAGTAACAGACCAAAATCAACAATACAGTCACTTTAAAGATACCAAACAGAAAACAGCAGAAGAATTGTGATACTTTGTTCCCCTCGTTTTTTTTTAATCCTTTCCTGAAGGCCCCAAGATCTATGGTTTCTTCAATTCTGGAAGATCTCGATTACTCACTATTTTCTGTTCTTCAGAGCCTTAGCAGAGAACATTCACAAAAATTTAACATCAACAGGGCACTGTAACCTTCCTCAGTTTGATGCACATCCATGGACAAACTGAACACTTTACAGGCAGTCAGCAAAAGCACTTGCTGACCCATTGGAGATCAGATTTCAGTCAAAAAAATAAGCAGGGCCACAGCTCTTTAGGACTTAAATTCTGCAGTGTTTTAATGAACAAACCATTAAGAGAGCAGGCATTCAACAGATGGCATAAAGTTCACCTTCTAGTCACCTCAGGCTATTATGACTAACAAGTTATTTTGCTCAAGATAGAAACACATGATAGATTCAGGAGTAGGCAGTCAATGAGTTTGTGACTCATCTACTTGAGCACAAGTTTTCTATTCTTCCCACAAATCATTGCTTTCTCATTTTAAAGGCAACGACATCGATTAATCTGAGTCTTGAACATACTCAACCGATTACCTTCCAACGTCCTCTGCAGCAGAAGCTTCTAAAAGGTTCCTTGGAGCAAAGAAATGCCTCCTTATCTCAGTCCTGCCATTACCCACAGAATAGGTCCCTTGCTATAGACACTCCTAGTCAAGTGAAACTTCCTTCCACCATTCAGTCTGTTGACCCCTCGAAGAACGTTCTACACTTTACTGAGTTGAGAAGGATGAGAAGGCAGGCTCAGGCTGTTTTAAAAATCTTTCATTAAAGCACAATCTTTCTGCCACAGGAATCGGCTTGGGGAGGCTTTGTTGCACTCCCTCTGAAGCAAGTACAATATTCCTTGGACAAGGAGATCAAAACTATACGTAATAATCTTGGTGTGATCTAACCAAGACTCCATATAATGGCACTAAGACATCTTACCTAGTATACTCAAATCACCTTGTAATAAAAAGGTCACATCACATTCACCTGAACTGCGCTTGCTGTTTGACTCCATTCAAAAGGCTCAGTTCTAATTACTTACAAAGTGTGTAGGTTCACTTCATTTCTTCAAGGGATGTGGGCCAGCATTTATTGCCCATCCTTAACATGAAGAATGAGGTGGTGAGCTGCCTTCTTGAACTCCAGTCATTGGAGTGTGCATACACCAACAGTACTGTTAAGAAGAGAGTTCCACTATTTTGGCCCAGCAACAATGAAGAAATTACAATACAGTTCCATGTCCAGTCGGGGTGCAACCTGGAGTGGAACCAGCAGGTCATTGTCCTGCTGTGCATCTGCTGCCTGCCATTGTAGATGGTTGAGGTGTCGGATTTGGAAGGTGCAATCAAAAGAGAGTGTTGGAGAATTAACTGGCAAGTTATCATAATTTTTGAATCATTGGCTGTACTGCTCGAAAGAATTGTTTTCAGGAATCTGACACTTTTCTGCTCAGTCTGGATTGGCTTCGAAGAACAAAAAAGGGTACAAAAAAGTGTAGTGATCCATGACAATCACAAGTGGAACATAATTCAAAAGATAAGGAATTCTTCTGTTACTGTAACCACGTTCATCCTTCCTTTCCTGTAGGCTGTGTTTCTACAGAAACTGGTCAAGTTTCAGAACTTGGCTCTGTAGATATTTTTCATTTTTGACGTAAATACAGTATATAACCAAACTATTTAACTGTTGGAAATGGAGAAGGGAAAAAAAAAATCATGGCTGAGCTGGATCTCATCCTCATCCAAAGATCACTGCCCTACACTTCTCAGCATGGAACCTTGGATAGGAATCATGAAGTTTTTCTGGTCAACTTTTCCGTCTCTGACAGCTACAAGAATGGGTACCTATTGGCACCAGAGCCAAGGTCACTCAACCAAAAACAGAATCTGGGATTTGCTAATTGTGTATGTACATTTGGTGCAGGTTTACGTAGAGTGTTGAATTCATTAGCTGAACCACCAGGAGGAGAGAGGGTCCTTCATGTTTCAAGGGTGCTTTCTAAGTTAAAGAGTACATGAACAAATACCGCTAATCAAAAATGGTTAAGTAGTTCCGATCTGAAGAACTCTCCGACCCCGCTTCCTATAAAAGCATGGATACATTTAATTACCTTTTACGACCTCACTGGCAAGACAATAAGCATCCGAGAGTAGTTCCATTGTCAGGGGAACAGACAATTTAGTATAGTTGGACAGCTAACTCCGAGGTGGCCATCCTAGAATTTGTATTCATGGCGAAGCAAAAGATGAAAGTACTTTGGTCTTTGGAATGGAAAGGCATCCAATTGATTAGGAATGGCCATATTTACCTGCCACTTGCAGTGAGTGCAAAAAAAAAAATCATTAAATTACACTGGGACTTCTTTTTTTCTTCATTCTTACATGTGATGTGTCAAGATCAGCATTTGATGCACTCCTCAATTGCCCTCAAACTGATTGGCATATTCAGCCACTTAATAGTTAACCACATCTGTGGGGAGCTGGAGTCACATGCAGGTAAGGATGATAGATTTTCTTCCCTGAAGGACGTCACTGAACAAGATGGGTTCTTAAGCAACAACAAATCAACAATGGTTACGCAGTCACCATTACTGTAGCTTTTTCTGTGTGACAACTAGTTACCTTGTGGAAGTTTGGAAATCTGATACTTGGCCTGGTGACGAATGAGTCAAGGGCCTCAAATTTAGTTGGTCTGCTGCAGAGCCATGATCTATAATGAAAAAAAACCCATGAATTTCAGTTTAGAGTTATATGTTTAATACATCTAAATATTTATAATACTGATTGGACTGAAAAAAAAACACCAATGCACAGGGCTACAAGAGATAAAATGTATTTTAAATCAGTTTATTATTTGTCTCACTTCATCAAATGAACTCAGAAGCAATTAAATTTACTCAGCAGATGCAAGGTTTCTTATATCTCGCTATACATGTTGCTCACTGCAATTATTTACAGAAAGAAACAAAGTATTTTTCATCTTAAAAACGTGCATTGTCAGCAAATTTCTCAACTACTAAAAATCATCTGCATTAGCTGCACATCACCATACACTTTATGTTAAAACTGTACACAAGATCATCGTTTGGCAATTTGGATTTTGAAGTTGAGGTAAAATAGGTGTGTAATTTCAGTTCTGAGAAGGCTTTTTTTTAATTCTGATGGTTCAGAAAGTAGTTTGTAACAGTGTACTGTAGACATGATTTTCACGAAGACATAGGCACTTGAATTAAGTCACAAAAATCTGTGTTGTTAATTGACTAACTAGTTATAAAATCGAACTTTTACGGCAGTCAAAGCAGATCAGGGGCCACTAGGTTCGAGTTCAGTTCAAGAGAAAAGTTTTACTCTAGCAGAAAGATTTCAGTTTGTGAAGCTTCCAAGCTGAAAGAGTTGACAAACATTTTCAAGCAGTCAGATCTGAAAAGGGATTTATGTCAGAAAATGACTCTCAGCCATCAAATCTGCAAAGTCTCAGTTAAGAAAGAAATTCAGAGCTAAGATAGCAGTAACATTCCTTTGGGATCGAATATCTTTAAAAAAAAATTAGTTTAAAAACTCTGCTTTGCTCTTTGTATTAAGACCTTTCTGAACGGAGCTTTTAGATTTTATTTCCTGTAATAAACTTGCACTTTTTCTTAAAAAACACCGACAGCTGCAAGAACATGTTCAGGCAACAAAACACCAGTGATGAACTACAAAAATTTTAAACACACGATCTATCAAATCAGGTTTCACCCTGGGATCTTGCCCAATCTGAAATCATCAGCTGGGATCATACAATTTACAATTGAGTGTATTCCCAAGTGATTTACTCAATTTTGATTTACATAACACCTTTTATCATTTGCAGAAGCATTATAAAAATGCCAGCCATCTATCAATGCATTAGGTCAGGTTAACAAAAAACTATGTCAAAGAGGCAGGCTTTAAAAGATCATTTTAAAAAGGCACAAAGTCAGGGAATGAAAGCCTACCCTAGAGCTTGAAACCCAAACAACTGAAGGCATGACCAAATGGAGGTATGACAAATTTGGGTATTTGCAAAACGCCAGAATCAGAAGATCACAGAGCACTGTAGCACGCAGAAGACTGTAGAAATTGGGAGGAACATGACCATGGAGGAATTCGAACCAAGAATGAGAATTTCAGCATGATGTTCAGCAAGGACTCTATGTACACTGGCGGACAAAAGGGCTGCTGAAGCAAATAGGATTTTTTGAAAATTAAGACTTGATAGGTTAATCTAAAATCTACAGTTCAATGCTGCATAGTTTTAAAAAGGTAGCCCAAAAAACTGACCATATTTTTTATTTAAAATGACAGTAATATATCATTCAAAAGCAAAGAACACAATTGTTTAGTGACTGCTTACCAGCGGTGTGGTTTTTTGGTACAACTGGTGCCTGATCATATTGGTGAAAGTTGACACTTTCTTCCTCATTGTTGGAATTGGAGCTCTCTCGTTCATCTCTCCCTTCTTGGAGCTTTGAAATTACATGCATCTCTTTGTTGTCTTCACCCATTGTCTCGCTGGTCAATTCCCGAAATCTTTGCTCCACTGATCCAGTGGTATGCAATGTTGGACGACGCAAACTGGAATTATTCAGTGTCACACCATGAACAGCAGTAGGTTCTGGAGAAACAGGGACTTTGAAATCTTTATGTTCTATTCTTAACACTCTCTCACAAGTTTCTGAAGACATTTTCTCAACATTTTTTTGTGCCATCTCAGACACACTTTCAACCTTTGCTTTATAAAGCACTTTATCCAAGCAAGCTTCATTCTCTCTCTCCTGGGCAGAAAGTTTCTCCGAAACAGCTGAAGGAGATTCTTCATCTTTCTCCACCACAGAAATAGTATGGTTTATATTTGGCATGTCAGTGGTTGTATTTCCATTTGAAAAAGCTCTGTTGTTAACAAATCCCTCTTCTGTCATCCACTTTGCATCAGTGAACTGGCTGTTGCCACATTTGGGATCAGGAAATCTATTTGACTCAAATACACAGGTTTCTGTGATTTCATTTTGACCATGTGGTCTGTTCGCATCCTTAACTAATTTGACTGACAGACAAGTATTTTCGGATTTGCAACAGCAACTATTGCTTATTGGATTAATTTGGCACAACTCTTCATTTGAAAGCACTGATTTCTTATTTTCCTCCTTGCTGGTTCTCCTTAAGGAAGATTTTTCTGAAGATGAATTCAACATGCTATGAGAATTCCTGCAATTTTCACAAAGACCAGCAGAATCTGAACTGCAAGTAAAAGCAGATTCTGGCATTGGTTTAAATTCAGGTTTTAGAACTTTACTTTCATTGGTCTCAGATCTTTCATGACCCTTGTCCAACATAACACCCAAATCTTTCATATTGCTTTTCTGGTCCTGTAATTGCACATTTGGTTTTCTGCTTATAGCTGCAGGCTCACTTTTCTTCCTGTTCTTATTAGAAAGTTCCAAAATCATTGCAGCTAACTGAGCAGGATCAGCACTCACAGAAGCATCAGCTATGGCTGAAGCAATCGTACTTATACTTAAAACAGAATCTGTACCGTTGTACGCTCTAGGTTCTTCAGCTTTCACAGGCGAACTCGAACACTGTATATTCTATGAAAGAAAAGTAACTTTGAGCTACATTTTAGCTGCACAATTTAAAGCAAATACTTAAATGTTGCTCTGAATGCAAGCTTTTACTCAGCAGGTCATATAAACACGGAAGCATAGAAAACAGAAAATAGGAATACAAGTAGGCCATTCAATGCCTTGAGCTCACTCCACCATTCATCACAATCATGGCTGATCTTCCAACTCAATACCCTGCTCCTGCTATCGCCTCCTTAACCTTTCATGCCTTTAAGCCCAACTCCTCTTTGAAATCATACAATATATTTTGGCTTCAAATCCATTCTATGCTAGCAAATTCCACATGCTCAACACGCTGGGTGAAGAGATTTCTCTTCACCCAGAGAGCAGCAAGCCTATGGAAATTTCTTCTTGTCTCAGTCCTAAATGGGGTACCCAGTTTCCATACAGCCCTGGTTCTGGGACTTAGCCATCATTGGGAATATCCTTCCTGCATCTACTCTCTCTAGTCCTGTAGAATCTTAGATTTCCATAGGATCACCCCATTTTATTTTGAACTCTGGTGACTATAATCCTAATTGATCCAGTCTCTCTTTATAAGTCAGTCTTGCCATTCCTGGATTCAGTCTAGTGAACCTTCTTTGCAATTCCTCCATAACCAGAACATCCTTCCTCAGCTAAGAGCACAACTGAACACAATATTGTACGTTTGGTCTCACCAAGGTGCTGTACAGTTGCAGCATAGCATCTCTGCTCCTATACCCGAATCCTCTCTCAATGAAGGCCAACATACAATTTGCCTTCTTTGTTACCAGGTGGACCTCCATGCTTACCTGTAGTGACTGGTGTACAAAGACAACCAGGTCTCATTGCACATTCCCCTCTCAATTTAAGGCCAGACAATAAATGTGCCTTCCTGTTTTTCACTACCAACGTGATAACCTCATTCTTATTCACGTTATACTGCATCTGCCATGCATTTGCCCAAAAACTCAACTTGTACAAATCTCACTGAAGCATCTTTGCAATCTCCTAACAGTTCACTCTCCCACCCAGCTTTAACGCAGATCCATTACATTTCATCCCCTAAAATCTTAAATATAGATTGTGAATAACTGGGGTCCTAGCACAGATTCTTCTTGCACCTCATTAGTCATTGGCTGCCATTCGGAAAAAGACCAGTTTATTCCTACAGTTTCCTGTCTGCCAACTAGCTCTCGATCCATCTCAATACGCTAACCCCCACTCCCGCACATTTTAATTTTTAACACATTCATCTCTTATGCAGGACTTTGTTGAAAGCCTTCCGAGTTCAAATAGAGTACATCCTTAGCTCACCCACATCAACCCTACTAGTTACATCCTCCAAGAATTCCGGTACAGTTGAAGATAATCAGAAATCCTTTTCTTAAATTCATGCTGACTCCAATCTTGCCACTGTTTTCCAAGTGCTCTGTTATTATATTTTTATAATGAATTCTGACATTTTCCCCACCACCTTCAATGTGACTGAACTATAAATTCTCAAATTTCTCTCTGCCTCTCTTCTTAGAGAGATCACATTAACTGTAGGAACTGTTCCACCCTATTGGAATATGACCAACAATTTCTAGAGACGTTTTAAGTACTCTTGGTTATAGATTATCAGGTCCTGAGGTTTTATCAGCTTCCAATCCCAACAATTTCTCTAAACTATTTCCCAATTAATAGTGATTTTCCTTCAGTTCCTCCCTCTCACTTGAGTTCCCCAACATTTCTAGTATCTTATTGGTGCCCTCCTTAGTGAGCACAGAATCAAAGTGTTTGTTTCGTTGGTCAGTAATTTCTGTGTTTCCCAGTACAAAGTCTCCCTTCTCTGACTGTATGGGACTTACATCTGTCTTCAATCTCAGTTATCCCAACTGACTGTAAATGTTCCTACACTGCCCACAAGCTTACTCTGGTACTTTATTTTCTCTTTTCGTAAATCAATCTTTATCCCCCTCAATTTTAAACTACTCCGACTCTTTGGTCTGTTTTTGTTTTCAGCTGATTTTTATCCAATTTCTTTCCTTGGGACGAATACTCTCTCTAATTTTCCATACAGGCCATGGTCTTGACCACCTTTTCTGTTTTACTTTTGTGCCAGATAGGAATGAACATTTGTTCCAGTTCATCCATGTGCTCTTTGAACGTTTGCACAGTCCTTCCATCATCATCCCTTTAAGTAACATTCCCCAATCTATCATAGCCGACTCACACCTCAAACTATTATCATTTCCTCTTAGCAGATTCAGGACCAAAGTCTCAGAATCAACTATGTTACCCTCCATCTTGAAGAATTCTGTCATATTATGGTCACTCATAGCTAGTGTTACTGGATAGTTTAATGAGCAGTTTAACTGGCCACAAACAGAACTTAAATTTAAATCTCAAAACATTCACTTCACATATCAAGCAAATAATTTAAAAAAAAAAAAAAAAAGTGTACTGACCTCACTTCCATTCATGTGAATTCTTGAACTTACTTCCTGGTCAATTTGAAATTTGTCATTTTCAATTTGCTTATCAGTTAGAAATGCAGGTGAAATTTCTGCAGTAGTTTCTTGATCCATGCATCTCAGCGCTGCTGGCAAAAACAAACAAAGTCCTTGATGTTTTAAAATTTAAACTGTATAGGAAAGGGCTCAAAATTGTTGCAGTGTAGCAGTAAGCCATTCAGATAATGTCTGCATAAACACTTCAGCTTAGACCATTCTCCTTCCTATAAACTTAACTCCCTTCTCAATGCCTCTACCACACACGGTCAGTATATTGCTGACCTTAATCACGCATTGCATGCAAAAGATTTTCCCCGCCTCACGAGCCCAGCTGATGTTATCACTGGCTAAGTCAAATTTCAGACTGAAATCTGACTTGGTAGATCAAATTGTACTTTTTGGTTTTTAACAAGGTAGTCTCTCACTGACAAGCACACAATGCTGCAGATTTAGTTTTAACAGTGAGAGAGTAAAGTGGAATAAACCAAACTATTCGCACACAAATCAGGGTAAAAATTGAATGGCAAAAGTATCCCATTCCGGTACCATAGACAATGTCCTTCACTATCCCACACTGGGTTTGACTTAGCTGTGGCTTCAATTCCCAGTACTGGCAATCTCAGTTACAAAGAATCAAGGAAAAGGCAGACTCTCTCAGCTTTAAGCAACTCCTTCCGGGTTTGAGCCAAGCACTCCTGGTCTGGAATATCTATAAACTCCTGAATAACACTGAATAAATCTGTTTTTAAACAATTTTAAACTGTCCTCTCCCCTGCTCAGGAACAACTGCTTTACAGATCTACCTTCAGCTAAAATTCTGCAGAACTCAAAAAACTAAAAACCAAAAACAAAAAGCTTTTTTTTCTCCCCCAAGCCCTGGGTGTTTACTCTAAGTCCCACCAAATTTCAGAATAAACTTGCTGATAAACTTGTCCAAATGTAAACAAATTTCAATTAGCCTCCAAAACACTGACTTTAAACAAGAAATGACCATGGAAATATTGATGAGTTAACCATTAAATCCCTTCAGTTACATAGACAGCTTACATGCTACCACTTTCAAAATGACGAAGTAACACAAGTTCAAGTAATTAAATTTACCCTAAACAAGAATTTATTGGCATAGATCATTGGTCAGACTCCGTCTTTAAGACCATATACAGTTTTGGTCTCTTAAGGAAGGCCTGAAATACAATTGAAGCACCTCACAGGAGGTTCATTTGACTGATACCAGTGATGAAGGAGTTAAGCTTACAAGGAAAGGTTGGTCAGAATGGGCCCAAATCCACTGGAATTTAGGTGAAGAAGTCACTGAAACACGAGTTCCTGACAAAAATCAACAAGGTGTGTTCTGAAAGGATGCCCGAGGGAGACCGGAACTCAAAGGCACTATTTTAAAATAAAAAAAAGGAATCCCCCACTTAAAACAGAAATGAGGAGAACGTATTTCCCTCAGAGGATTTGTTCTTTAGAACCTGCTACCCCAGACAGCAGTGAAGGCAGGGTCATTGAATACTTTTAAGGCAGAGACAGAAACAAACACACTTGACCAACAAGGGAGTCAGAGAGTTTTGGGGCATATGGAATGGAGTCAATCAGATTAGCCATATAAAAGCCAAAGACTGCAGATGCTGGAGATTTGAAATAAAAATAAATGATGGGAGAAACTCAGCACTTTTGGAAACATCCACTGCCAACAGAACAGAGTGAATATTTCAAAGTCCAGTGACTCTCCTTTGAAGTTCCAAAGACAAATAATTGGACTTGAAAAGGTAGAGCTGTTTTTCTATCCACAAATTCTGCTAGACCTGCCAATTTTCCAACATTGTTTTCGAATTTGATCAGCCAATCTCTTAATGAACATTAGAGAAGACTCGGGTGGCAGAATGGTCTATCTTGCTCCTAATTCCTGCATTTGTAAATTTTAATTTTGTAGGCACCCTAATAGTTCAGAAAGTATCAACATTTCAGCCAACTTAATGGATGTCTCCAAAATAATGGAACCATTGACCAAGAGAATAACAACATAAATACATAAGAAACAGGAGCAGAAGTAGGCCATTTGGCCCCTGAAACCAGCCCCAATATTCAGCAAGATTCCGGTCAATTTCTCCCAGGCTTTAATTCCTGGAGGTGCACACAATGATGAGGTCTAACCAAGACTTGATACAGCTGTAATGCATTTTCCACTCCTTTGAATCGTAGCCTGCCCACCCGTTCAGATAAAGGCGACCATTCCAAAAATAAATCTGTGACCAAGATATCTTGGTTATGTTTGGGCAGAATGGCCAAGTGGCAATATTGTACTTCGATACTTCTCTCAAGGTGGTAAGCCGCCTTCTTGAACCACTGAATAAGCACACTTTCAATGCAACAAGGAAGGAGCTCCAGTACTTTGGCCCAGCAAGCAAGGTATTATGCTGGTCTATAGCAAACAAATCTGTTTAACAACTTTCTATTAGTTAGTGAATTCTCTATCCATGCTAATGTACTACCCGCATGGGGATCGAGGTAGTGTATCAGCATGGACACAGGATTGACTAACCAACAGAAGACAGAGTTGGGATAAAGTGGGGGCTGAGAGTGGATTTTAGCATAGCAATCTGTAAGTTGTGGAATGCCACAGGGATCGGTGCTGAGACAACATTCATTTATGAATAATATGAATGACTTGGATATGAACATATTAGAGCCAAAGTCTGCGGATGACCAAAATAGGTGGGAAACCAAGTGATGAGGAAGATTCAAACAAAGTCTGCAGAGGGATACAGACAGGTTAGGCAAGTGGGCAAAAACTTAGAAAACAGAATATAATGCGGCTAAATGTCAGATTATGCACTTTGGCAGAAAGAATAAAAGAGCTGAATATTATATAAATGGAGAAAGCCTGCAAAAAGCTACAGAAGAGATGAGAAGAATTTGGGAGTCGTTGCCCATGATTCACAAAAAGCTAGCATCCAAGTCCACTGGGTAATAGGATAAAAGAAATACTCACCTTTGTTTCAAAAGGGAATGGAATCTAAAAGTAGAAGGAAAAAAAACCCAAAAGAACCGCAGGTAGTGTCTCAGAGTCACAACTGTTCAGTAAAGAAACAGACCCTTTGGTCCAACTCGTCTATACTTACCAGATATCCTAAATTAATCTAGTCCCATTTGCCAGCGTTCGGCCCATATCCCTCTAAACCCTTTCTATTCATGTACCCATCCAGATGCCTTTTAACATGTTGAAATTGTACCTGCCTCCAACACCTCCTCTGGCAGATCATTCCATACACGGATTACCCTTTGTGTGGAAAAGTTGCCGGAGGGCTCTTTTAAATCTTTCCCGTCTCACCTTAAACCTATGCCCTCTAGCTCTGGACTCCCCTAACCTGGTAAAAAGAACTTGGCTATTAACCCTATCCATGCCCCTCATGATTTAATAAACCTCTATAAGGTCAGCCCTCAGCTTCTGATGCTCCAGGGAAAATAGCCCCAGCCTATTCACCCTCTCCCTTCAGCTCAAAATCTTCCAACCCTGGCAACATCCTTGTAAATCTTTTCTGTACCCTTTCAAGTTTCACAACATCCTTTCTGTAGCAGGGAGACCAGAACTGAACACAATATTCCACAAGTGGCTTAGCCAATGTTCTATACAGCCACATTTGAAGAAATCCTACACGCAACGCAATGACCAATAAAGGCAAATGTACCAAACAACTTCTTCACAACCCTATCTAACTGCAACTCCACTTCCAAGAAACTCAACTGCTGGAAGTCTGAAACACAAACAAATATTTGTGAAAACTCAACATGCCTGGCAGCATCTGGGGACAGAACGCAAAGTTAATGTTTCAAGTCCACTGATGTTTCTTCAGAGCTGATTGCAGCTGGGAAAAGGTTTACATACATGGTGAATAGATAAAATAGGTGGAGATGAAGCTCAGAGAAGTCTCGTGCAAGAGTGACAACAGCAATTGGACGAAGATATGGATGAAGGTCAGCCTGCGGAATCAATAGCTGCTAACTGGGACGACTGTGATAGCAGCCCATGTGAATGACAAGGTTTGGGATAAAAGGATACAGAAGAAGGTATTTATGCCCCAATATTGTTGAATTTCAATACTGAGTCCCAAAGGCTTCACAGCACCCAAACAGAAAATGAGATGCTGTTCTTGCTTACACTGAGCTTCACTTGAGCACTTCAAGCCTGAGACAGATGTTGGCCAGGGAACATGGTGGTGCATTGAAGTGGTAGGCAACAGGAAGTTCAGGGTTATTTTTGTGGACAGAACTTGGGTCTTCTGCAAAGCAGTCACCCAGTCTGCGTTTTGTCTCCCCAATGTAGTAGGGTGAATACAGTAGACTAAATTGAGTGAGGTGCAGGTAAATTGCTGCTTCACCTGGTAGGATGGTGTCTGGGGCCTCGGATACCGAGGAGACAAGTAGTAAAATGGACACCTTCCACGATTGCCTGAAAAGGTGCCAGGAATGAAGAGGAGTGGACCAAGGTGTCCTGGAGGGAACACCCCCTGTGAAAAGCTGACAAGAGAGGGGAATGGGTGCCTAATGGTAGCATCTCTTTGAAGGTAGTGGAAATGACAGCTAATGATCCTTTGGAAGTGGCTGCTGGTGGGGTGGTAATGAGTACCAAGGGGACCCTATTGCGGTTGCAAGACGGAAAAGAATGGCTGAGGGCTGAAGTACAGGAAATGGGAAGGACACAGTTGAGAGCCCTATATACTATGATACTGGAGAATCCTTGGTTGAGGAAAAAGGTGGACATTTTGGAGGCTTCCTTGTAGAAGCTGGCATCATGTGAACAAATGTGACGGAGACAGAAACTGGGAAAACAGAATAGAGTCGTTACAGGAAGCAGTGAGTGAGGAAGTGCTACCAAAGTAACTGTGGAAATCAGTGGGTTTGTAGTGGATATTGGTGGCCAGCCTATCTTCAGAAATGGAAACAGAGATGCTGAGGAAGGGAAGCGAAAAGTCAGTGTTAGACCAGGTGAAGGAGTGACCAGGATAAGATCAGCCATGATCATATTAAATTGCAGACTGGGCTCAAAGGGTTGAATTGCCTGTTCCCTCTCCCACTT